CATAGTGGTGGTGTAAATTGTATCGATTAATCCATACCGACGAAAGTCATGAACTAATAATGGTGAGGCTTTGATGGAGTAATAAATTTATAAATCGAAGCGCACACAGGTCAATCCTCACAAGGCCAAGTATAACCCAACTAGGAATGTAGTAAAGTGGCTCGATCGTATACCAAGAGTCACGGTATCCTAGGCTATTTAGGCTCGGTCGTTATCTAGTCAACCTGTTATGTAACAGATGGGCAGTTGACGATTACTGACCTAGAGATTGATAAGGAAGAAGAGGTACCGGGGTAACTCCCTCATCCTAATCTTAGGTTCATCATGCACGTGATTAACTATGTTGGGTTTGCAAGATAAGGTGCAAAAATCACTAAACTGAGGGTTTCAATGATTACTTCCCTCCTCCTAGTATGCTCCCAGAGATGCATTGTCACCTCGGTCAAAGTTCACTTACTAAGGAAGGACCACTAGTTCCTCTCATTAGGTTCAACCTATCATGCACACTAAAGCAATGATAGAAGAAGCTTGCATCATCTCTAGCATTGTCTCAGGAAGGTGTTCCTCTAGCGCATGTACGATTGCCTCGTCCACTAAAAGGAACCCTAAGCTCATTCATCTACCCTTAATTAGCCATAAGGCGCAACATAATTAAACATAATGAAGCATATTATCACTTGAAACAAACAAATCCATACACAAACCATAACACAATCACATATACATTCAAAACCTAATTCTAGAGTTTGGGGTTGTAACCCCTAGTACCTTGGAGGTATATTTCCCTTCACCTTTTGTCAAGAAAAACTATTTATACAAAACACCAAAAATATATAGAAACACATTCAAACCCGCAACATATACCAACCAAAAACCACATATCTGATCCTCCCAAAACAGAGTTTAAAAATACAAAAAGTCCACAATCGAGTCCAAAACATCAAATTATCATTCAAATCAATGAATTTATATAGAATGATAAAAGAAACCATTTTTAGGAGCTCATAGTCTTGTCTAGATCTGGATCCAACGAAAATCACCAATCTCAATCGAACCATGATAATACAAATAGTGAAATCTTTCCTGTTCTTTGCCGAGTAGATCACAAGCAGTGGCGGTGACGGCTTAGGATAGGGTGAGTAACCCTTTGTTACTCACCCGTGAGTAACCACATAGGGACCGTCGATCTTGGCGGGACGGATCTTGTGGCTGTGATTGATGCGGGGTTTTTTGTCCACGGTCAGGGGCATTTTTGTCCGAAATTTTATATTTGAATTAAATGACTTTCCCTCTTTGTCCGTTGCAAATCTTTCTGTGCGCGAGTTGGATTCGGATTTTGGAGAGAGAAACTACGAGCAGGGGGAGCAGCAGCTGAGAAATAAGGACGGCGATTCTCCATTGTTGATCGACGGCGATAGAAACTGCGAGCAGCAGCTTCGAATCGAGCTTTCTGATTCTCCGTAATTGATCGACGTGTGCGCGAGTTGGATTCGGTTTTTGTAGAGAGAAATTGCGAGCAGCGGCTGCGAAACAGGGGACGACGAATCTTTTCTGATTCTCCATAATTGATCGACGACGAGGTTAGATATTAGTGTTTTTGATTCTTTCTGTTTAGCTAATCGAGTTTTCTATTGATCTCTGGTTTCGTTGGAGGTTTTTGATTGCTGCTAGTCGAGCTTGTTTATGTTTAGCTAATCGAGCTTGTTCATGTGTTATGTTCTTTGTGTTTTGGTGTTTTGGCAGTATTCTGGTGAGATGAGTAACGTAAATTGTGGCGATGTTGTTCCAATTGATAGATCTGGTTCTTCAACCAGCGTTGTAGGATCTGGTTCTTCATCTATTGATCTTGGATTTGATCATTCAGCTAACTCTGGTGAATCAGGAGGTAAGATATGCAAATTTGTTTGTTTATTGAAGTTTGTATAGTGTCGTAATTTGATTTTACTATGCCTTATCATGTGGTAATTGATTTTATAGTACATTACCATGTGGTAAAATGTGGTAATTAGGAAGTTAAATGTGATGTTTCTGTGTGATAATTGATTTTACCATGCCATACCATATGGTATAGTGTGGTAATTTGATTTTACCATGCCTTATCATGTGGTAATTGATTTTACAGTAGATTACCATGTGGTAAAATGTGGTAATTAGGAAGTTAAACTTGAGGATTCTGTGTGATAGTTGATTTTACCATGCCATACCATATGGTATAGTGTGGTAATTTGATTTTACCATGCCATACCATGTTGTATAGTGTGGTAGTTTGATTTTACCATGCCATACCATACCATATGGTATAGGGTGGTAATTTGATTTTACCATGCCTTATCATGTGGTAATTGATTTTACAGTACATTACCATGTGGTAAAATGTGGTAATTAGGAAGTTAAATGTGAGGGTTTTGTGTGATAATTGATTTTACCATGCCATACCATGTGGTATAGTGTTGTAGTTTGATTTTACCATGCCATACTATGGTGGTAACTCTTGTAACATGGCTGTAATTATTGGTATACATTGATATTTCATACTGTTGTGGTGTGGAATCCATTTAATATGTTGTTTCATAATGTTTGTAGGTTTCAATGGTATAGATCCTACTGTTCGTGATTCTTGGAAGGACTTAGAGTTCAATACACCAGATGATGCATATAATTTTTATGTTGATTATGGGAATCATGAAGGTTTTGGTGTGAGGATTTATAACCAATCAGCGTGTCCGAAACTCAATGGTGGTTCTTCAGCTGTATATTATATCAAGTATTGTTGCAATAAGGAAGGTTGGAAAAGAGGTAGCGAGAATAACCCTGATAATGCAGGTGTTGTTGATACGACAGTTCGTGTTCGTAATGTTCCAGAACTCAGGGGTGGATGTAATGGTGCTTATATACGACTGAGGTGGTTTAAAGAGTTTAAATGCTACAAGATCTATCGTTGGTATAATGTGCACAACCATGACATGATTCCTGAGTCTCTGCGTCACTATGTGAGATCCAGCAGACGAATGGCTCCTGTGTATAAGATGTTGGCAGAGGTGAATGATGCTGCTGGTATTGGTGTGACTTCTTCGTATAATGCAATTAGTAGGGCTGGTGGTGGTCGGAAGTTTGTTGGGTTCACAAAGAATGATTTGAAGAACCATCTGCGAACGGTTAGGACGTCATCAATGGAGTATGGTGATGCGACTGCATTGCTTGAATACTTTAGACGTCAAGCACAGCTGGATCCTGGGTTCTTTCATGAGGTGGAGGTTGATGTTGAAGAGAACATTGCTAGTATTTTTTGGGCAGATGGGAAGATGAGGATGGATTATCATTATTTTGGTGATTCAATTAGTTTTGATACTACTTACCGGACTAACAAAGAGTATCGGCCACTAGGTATGTTTTCTAGTTTGTTGTTTATTATTGTGTTTGTTAGTTTGTATGAGTATTATTATTATCATTCTGTATCATGTTTTTTTTTGTTCTTAAATGTATTTTACCATATGGTATGTGTTGGTAACAAGGTTATTTGAGGTGGTTTTTGTGCTTAAAAGTCTTTTACCATATGGTATGTGTTGGTAACAAGGTTATTTGAGGTGGTTTTTGTTCTTAAAAGTATTTTACCATATGGTATGTGTTGGTAACAAGGTTATTTGAGGTGGTTTTTGTGCTTAAAAGTTTTTTACCATATGGTATGGGTTGGTAACAAGGTTATTTGTGGTGTTTTTTGCGTTGTTAGAAGTGTGTACTATATGGTAGTCTGGTGTGGATTGTTTTTTTTTTGTTCTTAGAAGTCTTTACCACATGGTATGAGTCTTTACCATATGGTATGGGTTGGTATTATTGTTATTCGTACCTTTTACCACATGGTATGTGTTGGTAGAATTGTTTTTACTCACATTTTGTTATGTTTATGTAGCTTTGTTTGTTGGTTTCAACAATCATCACCAACTGACTGTCTTTGCGGCTGCTCTTCTCTATGATGAAACAACAGCAACATTTGAATGGCTTTTCGATCAGTTTTTGAAATGCATGGGAGGTGTGAGACCGTTATCAATGTTTACTGACCAGGCTGCTGCAATTGCTGCTGGTATAAGGTCTGTTTTCCCAGATTGTTTTCATGGGTTGTGTACATGGCATATTGCTCAGAATGCAGTTCTTAATCTGGGAAGTTTGTGTGACTCTGACTTCCTTCGTGAGCTTAGTTATTTGATGTATAATGCTGATGATGAGGATGATTTTGAGTATAATTGGAAGAAGATGATTGAGAAGTGTTTTCCTGGGAAGGGACCTTTGGGACACAGTTGGTTACAGGGCATTTACAAAGTCAGGACGAAGTGGTCTTCAGCCTGGGTGAATTGTCATTTTGGTGCGGGAATGAAGAGTACCCAGCTAAGTGAGTGCTGCAATAGTAATATTCGACATTACTTGCAGTCAGAGTTTAGCGTTAGTAGGTTCTTTGTGCACTTTGAGAGGATGCTTGATAATAAGAGGGATGCTGAAGAACAAGAAGAGTACTATGCCTTATCTAGGTTGGCTGATTCTCGGTTTTCTACTAGCCCTATTGTGAAGCAAGTTGCTAATGTGTATACGCCGAAGATATTCAAGTTTTTCCTGGATCAGTACAAGGAATCCCTTGCGTATAATATTTTTTCCAATACGGAGATAGAACCAGAAGGACATGTAGGACTGTTTGATGTCTTCATATTGGAGGATGACCTTACAAGGTTGGATAGTAGGGTGTTGAAGGTTGATTTTGAAAACGGTGAAATCAAGTGTTCGTGCCGTAAGTGGGAGTCAAGTGGTATGATCTGTAAGCATCAAATTAAGGGATATGATATGTTGTGGTCTACAACGTGCAATCTGAAGTTCCAGCACATTCCTAGCAGTTTGATTTTGAAGCGGTGGACAAGGGCAGCGAAAACTGGAGGGAACTTTTCTTTTGAAGTTCCGTCTACTGATAGTCCATCGAAATACCGTTCTCGTCTTTTCAATCTGTCAGCTGTTTCTGCATCAATGATCAGCAGGGTTGCATTGGATGATGATTTGTATAAATCAGCCATGGCCTTCATGACTGATTTGATCAAAAAGTGTGAAGCCCTATCGATTACTGAACCTGCTGGAACAAGCACATCTTCTAACGGTGACAGTAAGTTTTTTTTAATTGTTTAGAGTTTGTTTTTGTTTTTGTTATCTGTCATTGATTGTAGTTTGTTTTTGTTATCTTGGTATAGATGATGTACCGGTCCAAAAAGTGAAGGGGTTTAAGCCTAAAAAAGATTCATTCAAGCCTTCGAAACGACCAATTCCAGCTGCGGAGGCTGCAAGGGCTGTAAGCAAGAAGAAGAGAAAAACTAGCAGGCTTGAGGAGGAGAATTTGAAGGCTGTTGAAGAAAGTTTAAGGCTGAAGCTGTAATAGTTTTCTTAGAGGATTATCTGAATGAATGGTTGATGCTGGTTGAGTTGTTGAAGCTATTTTGTTCTTTTGGATGGGTTTTTGGTTTTGTTGGATTAATTTTACACTGTTATACCATGTGGTATAATGTGGTAATTTGATTTTATCATGTCAAACCAGGTGGTAAAATGTGCTAGTTTGGAAGTTGAATGTGAAGGTTCTGTTTTATAATTGATTTTACCATGCCATACCATATGGTATATTATGGTAATTTGATTTTACCATGTGGTAATGTGTGGTAATTGATTTTACCATGTGGTAAAATAGGATTTTTTGGAAGTGGTATGTGTGGTAATTGATTTTACAGTGCATTACCATGTGGTAAAATGTGGTAACAAACTAAAACACAGCAGGACTTATGGTTTTTTTGCTATTATACAACATGAAACCATAGTTTACCACACATTACCATATGGTAACAAACTAAAACACAGCATGACTTATGGTTTTTTGCTATTTTGCAACGTTTTACTACATGAAACCATAGTTTACCACACATTACCATATGGTAACAAACTAAAACACAGCAGGACTTATGGTTTTTTGCTTATTTACAACATGAAACTATAATTTACCATACATTACCATATGGTAACAAACTAAAAGACAGCAGGACTTATGGTTTTTTGCTATTTTACAACATGAAACCATAATTTACCACACATTACCATATGGTAACGAAGCAAAACACAACATGTAATCATAATTTACCACACATTACCATATGGTAAAATGTGGTAATTTGGGAATTAAGACCACATGTTAAGTATTTGCTAACATAATAAAAAACAGAACATTTCTTTTAGTCATAATACAAACCATAATAAGTTGTTTCATACCATCCTACTAATTAAAATGAAGTGGCTACTGAACATTGTGAGTTTGTTCTCAAAAGCTTACGCATACCCTTCTACTACTTAACACAAATGATAATAGAATTTTCATTTCCTTCCTTTCAACTCTTTCTTCTTCTTCTTCATGTTGCAGTACTTTGTTGCTTCTTTCATGATCCTTTCCCGTTCAAGATTTTCTTCATCAAGAATGATGTCCAACATCAGGCACTCCCTTTCTTCATTTATGAGATCAATCCTCTTCCAATCTTTGGTCAGGGCACTGTTGTACTTACCTTCCCAGTGTCTCATCCACCTGATGACGTACATCCCACATGAAATTTGATCTGGTTGTGTAACCTTCTCGAGCTTGAACCAGCTAAACCTCTCCCACCTTACTGTCCTGTCTGCAAACTGTGTCTTCATGTAGTTGATTGCGTACTGGACAACTCTCTCTGCCATTGATTTGTATGTTTTTTCAAAATCTTTGTGACGGAGACTGTCGAGCACTTCAAATCTCTCTGCTTTGATGTTGACACAAATCATGATGTAGTGCTTGTTATTACAGTAAGGGAAGAACCACTGCAAAATCATTTTACCACAGTATACCATATGGTAAGCAGGTGCCATATAAGTGATGAACAGTAAGTTAAGTTAAGAACAATTGCAAACTAATTTTACCACTATATACCATATGGTAACCACTGCAAAAATTGTGGTGAGATACTTACAAGGTTACATTCTGTGAAGCTGAGGTTTTTGGCCCATTCTTTGTTGGTGATGTCCAAGTCCACTTTGTCGTAGTAATCGTCTGGAGATAGTAGAGGATTGCCACTATCAATGTCCAGTTGGCAGTCACCCTGAAAGTTGTGGTTGTTATTATGTGTTTTATATATGTGTTGTCTAAGAACTTTTGACAGAATATGGGTGGGTTTACTTACTGCCAAAGATGTATCGAAGAACCACCTTGTGAATTTTCCTTTTTTTGCTTCATTCCTGTTCATTACATCTCCATACCAGCCGATGACATCAGATGTGATTTCACAGCCAATGTCAATCGACTGTACTGACTCCCTTTTCAGCAAGAATGTTCCATCCTTCCTTTTAAACATGATCTCATCACTGTATACAAGCACATCACAACAGGACGGATGGTTTACTTTAATTCATCACATCAAACAATAGGTTACCACAACAAAACCATAGCTTACCACATCTTATCATATGGTAATAAGTAAAGCACACCAGCTTAGCACATCTTACCATATGGTAATAAGTAAAACACACCAGCTTACCACATTTTACCATATGGTAATAAGTAAAACACACTAGCTTACCACATCTTACCATATGGTAATAAGTGAAACACACCAGCTTACCACATTTTACCATATGGTAATAAGTAAAATAGAACAGGAGTTATGGTTTAATCCATTCTTTAACAACAAACCTTAGCTTACCACATCATACCATATGGTATTAAACTAAAACAAAACAGGACTTGTGCATTACTACATTTTGTAACATTAAACCATAGATTTATCTAATTTTACCATATCTTACCATATTTTACCATATGGTAACAAACTAGATCACTACAATAACATCATATAACAGTAGAAGTTTTAAGATGATGACTTACCTCTTGGCAAATTTCTTATTTTTGCATCTTATGTACTCCAGGATGTTGCTGAACATATCATCAGGTGTTGTTTGTGTTGGTGTTGACCATTCAACTGGTGATTTTTGTGACTGTGGAGCAACTGGGTCGGCAGCTGGAGAATTCAGGTCCTCTAGGTAAGCTTCTATGCATTCACGGACTTCCTTGAGCTTCTCTTGGCTGTTTGTGTACAGATTTGACCATATAGCATATGACCCCGTCTGTGACTGGGTGCTTTGTGGCTGTTCTGGTGGTGGTGTTGCTTTTGCCTTCTTTTCATTTCCGTGTACATTCTTTATCACGATTCTTCTTTTGCGAGGCTCTGCTGGTTGATCGGTTGCCGTGTTGGTAGTCAACTTTGTTGGTGTTGTTGGTGTTTGACGGTTGAGAGGGCTGAGATCAAAGGATGGAATGTCGTCTTCCCTCGTCACTTTAGGCTTCTCAGCAGCTTCGGTTGTCAGTTTTGGAGCCTCTTCACGAACAACATCATCTGATACCGTCTTCTCGCTGTCAGTTTCTGCAGTCTTTTGTGCAGCTTGCCCTGTATTCCCTTCTTCTCTTGTTTCCTTATCAACTTCCATTGGATCTGCTGTTTTGGTAGCTCCTTCTTGTTCGGTTTCTTCTGCAGATGTCTGTTCTGGAACTGCTTTCTGGGTGTCCTCTGTTGCAACTTCCCCCAGTGGATCTCCTTCTTTTGGGATGCTTTCTCTATTCACAGCTCCTGGAGCAGAATCATCTTGCTCCTTTTCTTTTGGCTTCGGTGTAGATGCAGCAAGATCGACTGCAGATGGTTGTGAATCATCTTCTTTCTGTGTTTGCTCCTCATTCTCCTCTTCGTTCTGGTCTATGTTTGTCTGTTTGAATATTTCATTGAGTGTTTTATTCAAACTGTCATGCATTTCTTCATCATTCTCTTCTTCATCATCTTCACACTGAGATTTTTCTCCTTCTGTGGGCTGAATATATTCATCACAGCTTTCTTTCGCAAGATTCTCCTTGTGTCTGATCAGATTCTCAATTTGGCTTTTGTACTGGTCTTTTATTGCTTTCATCATTGCCTTCATTGATGCTTCAACCAGTTTGATTGCATTCTCAGCCTGCATAATGGGAGTATGGTTAGTTACCATGGTGGTAATACATGGTATTGGCAATTATTATCACTATTCTGCATTTTTATAACATGAAACTATATCTTACCACACCTTACCATATGGTAACAAAGTAAAACAGAACAAGAATTATGGTTTCCTCCATTTTTATAACATGAATTCATTGCTTACCACACATTACCATATGGTAACGTATTAAAACACAACAGGACTTATGTTTTCCTCCATTTTTATAACGTGAAACCGTAGATTACCACACTTTACCATATGGTAACAAACTAAAACACAGCAGGACTTGTTGTTTTTTGTATTTTTAAAACATGAAAGCATAGCTTACCACACATTACCATATGGTAACAAAGTAAGACAGAACAAGAATTATGGTTTCCTCCATTTTTATAACATGAAACCATTGCTTACCACACATTACCATATGGTAACGAAGTAAACCACAACAGGACTTATGTTTTGCTCCATTTTTATAACATGGAACCATAGCTTACCACACTTTACCATATGGTAACAAAGTAAAACACAGGACTTACGCTTAGCATGTATTGGACAACTGGTATATAGATAATTTGTACTTACTTGGTTGACTATTCTGATATTCTTCAAATCAAAGTTCAGTGATGATGACTGCTCGGGACTTTTGTTTCTTTGTCTTTTCGGTGATTCATAGACTGGCTCATTCTCCTCTTCCTCATCAGGTGCGACATCAGCTGCGTCATCAGCCTCATCATCAGCCTCATCATCAGCCTCATCGTCTCTAATGTTGGTAATCTTTTCGATCTCGTTCAACTGTTTTCCATTGTAGTAGCTCTTAATGTTCTCAAAGTTGCTATCAACATTGTTATCATCATAGTAGCTTACTGTTGGTGTTCGAAGCTGGGTTGAGAATGCCATTTCGTCCAGTTTGTACATGAAGCATACCTTTTTATGCAGATAGTTGTATTAGTTTTTTCAAAGAGTATCATTTATATATAAAATATATGAGTAACAAGGTTGAAATGGCCAAGGGAATGGAGACTTACTGTAAGGAAGTGAAGATCTGCATTGACGTAGAACTTTGGTGATTTCAATCCTTCATTCATGTGGTTGAAGAAGTATTTGCACCAGTTGTAGCTGGTGAAATGTTTCTGTTCATCAGTCTTCAAGTACTCAAGCATGTTGAGTTCAGCCATAGGGGCTGAAGTTGGGCACAGCAAGCCTCCGGTGACCAGCAGAAAGAATAATTGTAACCATCTCCTACTGTTGGTAACTGTAGAAAGATCTTTTTCTACCTGACTTAGC